GCACTGACTGCTTTCACCACAAGCTGAGAATGGCTATTAATAAGTCAACAATAATCCAAAAAAACAAGTTGTGTGTGGCCCAAGAAAGGGATCATCAGTGTTGTACTTTTACGATTGATCACCTAAGTCCAAATTATGCGAAATAATAAATACTCCAAAGTCTGAGATTGTACCACAGGCAATTATTAAAAACTTGGAACACAATAAAATTAAAGTAAAAATAAAAATTTCTTTAGAAGGATTTGAGTGAATTGAATTTGAGAAAACTGTAAATTTGGTTTAAAACAATATTTGAGAAATATTAAAGCATTAGAAATCATCTTTCAACTCTACAAAATATTTATTTTGATCCGATTTTCAAACTCAATTAAGAATTAACTGAGAGTGAGAAGTTTTAGTGGTGATATAACAATTTTAAAGATATAATTAATATATTAATTATATAAAAATTAGTACGATCACTAGCATTCATCGTCAATGTTGAATCAAGTTTTCTAATAATTATACCTTCTTTTCAAAACAAACAAAAAATCAATTATTGTTATAAAAATCTTAATTAATTTATCTAGATATACAAAAGCAGCTATATGATTCACAATAAATCTTAAACACTTGTTGTACAAGGTACAATAAATCAAAAGATTGTACATAGTAAAAATTTTACTAAAACTTACAAAATAGTTAATAAGAAAAAGTAAGTACTAAAATAACAACAGACCAAAACAGATACTGTACTTTATTGATAGAATCACCCCTAACTTTAATTAAAAATTTAGTAATTCATAGACAAAATTAAAGCAAAAACTAGAAGAGAAACCTGGTAATTGGGAACAACCCAATTTAGGGTAAAACAAGTATTTATAGGGCAAAATAACTCTCTTTATTAACAACTAACTATTCTACATTATACAATATAATATTCATTATATGAAAAATATTATACACCTATATCTTCAAAAAATAATAAAAAAAGCATACCTCTTTTCTCTCCCCCCACCCTCCAAACAGATTTAACTCCCCATAAATAAAAAAAGAATATTATAAACGTACATCACCAAAAATCCTACAGCCTTTGGCTCATCAATCCTCTCCCTCTCTCTGTCTCCTAATCCATATATACACAGATTTCAAGAATTCGAATAGATTGATGGCTTCTATTCTAATAAATATTTATGACATCATGCAATGTTTTATCAATTTTCGAAAGATTAAAAAGTATGAGACTTATTGGATAGTAGTAGTTAAGTTTTATACATTCGTTGATAGCTTTAGGTATATGTTCGTTATGATTTATGAATTGTGTTTTATTTTATATACTTGTATACCTGTAATGACATATATGTACATTCTTTTCAATTAAATACTAATGTACTTATTTCGTGAATATATATATATTCGTATAATGTATATGAATGATCGTATATATTGTTCATCGTATATGATATGTTGTATACTTATATAAACACGTATATATTAATTGTGTACCTATTATATTTGTTAATTATTTTTTTAGTGTACCTGTCTGACGATCTGTGTTTATAAAAAGTAAGGTACATTCTGATGATGTAACGTTTTAGAATAGGTGTTTTAATTACGTAATGACATTGTCGTTATTTTTGCAATTTTAAAAAATGTTAATTATATCAATTACTTTGACTTTTTAACAGGGACCTAATCCAAAAACAAATTAACGAGTAATTATTATTGTTTTTTGAAATCCTATTGGGTCAAGGTACCGATTTCCAAAAAAAACTAAAAAAAAAAAGAGTTAAATTTTCATTTCCTGCTTATACAATCAAATGTACTTTTTCCCTCACACAAGTAGAACACAAACATAGCCGCCATGCACCCCACAACTCCCTCTCCCCTCAGCCGTGGGCGAAAACTGAAAAGATATGTAATTCATGTTTTGATTTCTTTTATTTTATTTTATTTATTATTAATTGTTCTTTTGTGTTTAATACATTAATATAAATAATATTTATAAGTTTAGAAATAAAATAAAATCTAGATATCGAGATAAATAATTTTTTTTTTTTTGTCTTGTGAATTATTAAATGGCAACAATGTTATTAAGAGGTATTTATAAATACTAATTGTCGTGCACGTACATTGCACGGGAACTATTTTAAATTATAATTTTTTGTTTTATTTTTTTGAGAAATGGATATAGATATAAATATAAGTACTGATGTACACAAATGGACAATGTTCATGATCATATCCTAGCCAATTATGGATCTTATCTTTGGAAACATTTATAAATCAAAAAAGTCAAACAATACACAAGTTATAAACTTGAAATCCTTAGAGCTTGTTTGGTTTGATTTTTAAAAACTATTTTTTGTTCTTAAAACTCTAAAAATAATGAAAAGGTATTTTGTTTAGTTTTTTGTTCTTCAGTTTTTTGAAAAAAAGAGAGAACTGAAACATAAAAAGAAAAACACGGAGAGCATACCATTTGTTTATTAATGAGGTCTTCCCTTCGACCTCCTTAACAGCATGCATTTTTTTTTGGCCTTTTTGTCTCTTTGTTTTTTGCCTTCCTCTCTGCTTGAATATCACTCTCTTTCTACTTCGGCAAAACCAGAAAGAACAACAACAACAACACACGAGTTTTGTCTTCTCCGGCGAAAGGATAATCTCCAGCGACTAGAGATCGTCTTCTCCGACGACTGAGAGCTCTTCGACCACTGGTCTTCAATGGCTAGGTTGCTTCTGATCAGATCTTGGACGATCAGGTTGGTTCAGATCAGATCTGGATCAATTTTTTTTACAGATATGATGTATTTAGGTTAGATCCAGCATTTTTATAATTTTTTTTCTTCGTTAGATCCAAGCATTTTTGTCACTTTTTTTTTTTTTTTTGTAATTTATCAAGTTTAATATATGTTTTTTGTTTTCGATGTCTCTCTGTAATCCACTGTAATGATTTGGGTGTATGTTGGAATTTTTTGTTCTTTTCTCTCTGCCTTGTTTTCTCCGGCGAGTGTGTGTGTGTGTGATGTGTGAGTGTGTGGGTGTATTTGCTATGTGAGTTGTGTGGGTAGAGATTGAGATGAGATAACTCCCTGGTGAAAGATGAGAAAGATAGAGAAATGGCAACGGAGATGAAAATGGGAAGGATTTATGAATTATTCTCCAAACAAGTTTTATAATTTTTTATTTTTTAAAATTATTTTCAAAACCTTATAACCAATAAAGTTTTGCAATATAAAAATACACTTTCTCAAATATTATTTTTTGAGATCCAAACGAAACATACTCTTAATTTCTTAGGCAATGCCATTATTTCTGCAAATGAACTCGTTCTTGAAGCATGAAAAAGCCAAACATTTGAAGATGGAGTTGAACAATACTCTTGGTATCCCGAAATTAAGGAAATAGTCAACAAATGAACCCTTATATCATGCAATTTACTTTGAATTTCTAAAACATGAGTATCATGATATCTTGTTTGATATCTTATCCCTTTGACAGTCTTCAAAAAATGACCAAAACTGAACATGGCATTGTGGCCAAAGATGATCTCCTGTCCCTAACGGTCAAAGCACCACATGATAATGATCAAACAAATAAAAATTTCTAAATCCAAGAAAAAGAATTCAAAACAATTTCATGTTCCCAAGGGGATAGGGAGGGGGCAAGGGTGACTCACCACTTAATTGAATTTTCATAAAATTTGAATAACCAACAATATTGTGAAACCAAAATTGTTAAATGCAAAATTTATTTGAACATTTTGTTCCAATAAAAATTCAAGATGTATCCACAAAGTAGGTAACTTGTGCAAAAACCTATGTCAATGAAACACACTACTTTGTAGCAAAAGAAACCATGTGATGATGCAGATAATGACACACCACTAGAAGTTTCTTTTATGTTTCGCAAGCCTTCGTAGTAGAGCACTTTCTATAGCTAACTTAGGAAAGAAAATCATACTCAATCATAGGTGTGGACATTGCATACGTAGTTATGTCAATTGAGATATAGTACAGTTTTTTCCATTCTCCATAAGGATTTATGTTTCTCCTATAAATAGGTGAATCAATGATTTCTTTACAACATTATAAGTTGGAGGTACACATTTTGGAATTTAGAACGGAGGGAGTTAGGCTCATAGGTGAGATTTATAAGTCAATGGATCATCTTTCTGCAGAATCTATATAATAAAATAAAACGAAGTTTGAATTCAAAAGACAAAGAGAGGTCCAGATCGTTTTGAGACAAAATATAAACACATCCAACGATCAATGTAATTTTAACATAAAAAACGGTTCAGATCATCTCAAAAATTTTGATCTAACGGTCAACAATGAGTATTAAATTTGTCCTTCCCGCCCAACACAGGCGTTTGTCTCACGCCTCTCCCTGTCACTTCTGCCTCTGTAATGTACGCCTCTCTCTCTCTTCCGCCTCTTCCTCTCTCTCACACTTTTCTCTCTCTGAATATATCACACCTCTCTCTCCGAATATATCACGCCTCTATAACATGGAATTCATCTCAAGGCTTCATTCCCTAGGTAGAGGGCTTCTACTACAGAGTGCAGACTACGGTGAACAGGAGAGGCAGTTCATCCACGCCAATTGCCAAAGACAGACATCCAACCATTCTTTGTTCCTGAGACCCTGTGAGTTCGTTTCTCTATTTCTATCCCCCTTTAGTTTGTGATTTTTGTATATCTGTATGTATATGAGAATTGTTTTGTTTTTAGAGTGTTAGGTATTTAATTCGAATGATTCAGTTCATTGAAGTTGAAATTGCTTGATTTAGGGGTGGTTTTGTTTCAATTGCATTCGATGATTTGACATTTCATTGGAGGAAAAATTCTGGGTTTAGATCAAAAGAGTGTGTTTGGCACAAGGATTTGAGTTTTTGCAAGAAAATTGAAGTGGGTTCTTTAAGTTTTGTTACTTATTGAAACTCTAGAAGTATATCGAACCATCACTGCCACCACCAACTCCGACGACACACTCCAACCCATCTCTCCGAACCCCAAATGTTTGTGGTATTGGCAACAGCTATTGTATCCCTTCGCTGTATGCAGCAGTTGGGAGTGTTTGCTTTGTGAAGGAAAACACAAGCTTCACCATGAGTTTGAAGTTGGTATTGTTGAATGTAGTGTTGGTGGTGTATTGGTGTGGTTATTGATTTCATGGTGTCAAATGATCACAAGGCTATCATCGTCAATAGGTATTTCTAATTTTGATTCACTTGATATTTTTAGATTAATTTTATTGTGTAGATTTTGTATTCCTGCTTATTTAAATTTGTAGCATACTCTTTAATTGTAATGTTGTTTAATATTGAATAACTTGACATTCTTAGATTTATTTTACTGGGGAAATTTTCTATTCATGTTTATATCAATAACAAATCAAATATACAAAATTCTACAAGAGTATTTTCTTTGTTCCTTCAAGTTGTATTTGTCCATGCAATTTGAAGTATGTTGTTCCTCACTTAAACTATGCACTTGATTCTGTCAGGTCATGGTTAGACTTTGCAATTGATTAGGCTGACTGATTTCCAACACACTCTTCTTGGGTCTATTGGTGAATGATGTCACATGTGGTTTGAGGGTGTTGCGGGTTCGACGCACCCAAGGTTTGAATTCTTTGACCCTTGGTTCATTGAACTTTGTCGTTTGGAACTTTCTTGGGTTATTGAACTTGATAATTCGTTAATTGCACTCATTCTCTATAAACCTATGGAAGTTTCCATTGAAGCTCAATGGTTCAATGAGCTCAACTTCAATGGTTGTATGCAAAGTGTTAGTTATTTCACTTCAATTAAAGAAAAACCTTAATTACTATTTTGATTTGTTTATAAAAATGTCTATCCATCTTTTTTTTTATATAAGAAGTATTGTGCATTAGAAAATTTCAATGGTAAAGAATTTCAAAATAACAANAGTTTTGTTACTTATTGAAACTCTAGAAGTATATCGAACCATCACTGCCACCACCAACTCCGACGACACACTCCAACCCATCTCTCCGAACCCCAAATGTTTGTGGTATTGGCAACAGCTATTGTATCCCTTCGCTGTATGCAGCAGTTGGGAGTGTTTGCTTTGTGAAGGAAAACACAAGCTTCACCATGAGTTTGAAGTTGGTATTGTTGAATGTAGTGTTGGTGGTGTATTGGTGTGGTTATTGATTTCATGGTGTCAAATGATCACAAGGCTATCATCGTCAATAGNGCTTCACCATGAGTTTGAAGTTGGTATTGCTAAATGTAGTGTTGGTGGTGTATTGGTGTGGTTATTGATTTCATGGTGTCAAACGACCACAAGGCTATCATCGTCAATGGGTATTTCTAATTTTGATTCACTTGATATTTTTAGATTAATTTTATTGTGTAGATTTTGTATTCCTGCTTATTTAAATTTGTAGCATACTCTTTAATTGTAATGTTGTTTAATATTGAATNGGCAGCCTGAGTCATACTAAAAGTTAGGAAAGCTACAAGGAATTGCATGGAATATGATCTTTGACATGGGACCTACCATGTGAAGGAAATTTCCGTTGAAAGCAAATGGACTTTTTGGGTGAATGGATTTCAAGCATTTGAAAAGAAATGTCATGGGATTTCTAAAGGAGATTTGGGCATCAAGAATATGATAATACATGTAATTGCATTTAAAGTAAACTCTTAATTTTATTTTNATTTCCAACACACTCTTCTTGGGTCTATTGGTGAATGATGTCACATGTGGTTTGAGGGTGTTGCGGGTTCGACGCACCCAAGGTTTGAATTCTTTGACCCTTGGTTCATTGAACTTTGTCGTTTGGAACTTTCTTGGGTTATTGAACTTGATAATTCGTTAATTGCACTCATTCTCTATAAACCTATGGAAGTTTCCATTGAAGCTCAATGGTTCAATGAGCTCAACTTCAATGGTTGTATGCAAAGTGTTAGTTATTTCACTTCAATTAAAGAAAAACCTTAATTACTATTTTGATTTGTTTATAAAAATGTCTATCCATCTTTTTTTTTATATAAGAAGTATTGTGCATTAGAAAATTTCAATGGTAAAGAATTTCAAAATAACAAAACCATCCTTTTTGTTGTAGAGCTAATTGTAAGAAAGGATTTGGCTTCCCTTATCTAAAGCTCATTTGTTGGTTTTTTAGTGTCTTTTTTTTGTTGGTCTTGATTTGGTTGCAATTTAGTTTTTAGTGGTTTCAGACATTGATGGAGTTGATTCGGGAATTTCATGGAGGTTTTTTGAAAGTCTTTATCATGGTTCAAAGAAAGTCTTAGCGGAGTAGACTCCTCCTAGGTCTTTCAGTTGGACTCCTTGTTATGGTTGGAATTCATGTTACTGCAATTCAGATGCAATTAATTGCCTAGCTGGACCTTTTCATTGAGCATGGACTGCTGCTGCCTAGATGCCACTGTTCACGTTACTGTGCAAGCTGGAATTTTTTTGGCTGTTGCAGCTGGAATGCTCACTGTTCTAAGCTGCTACATTAATGCGGCCTTCATTATTTCTTGCATCTAGTTTTTCTTTGTAGATTACAAAGCAGCATGCTCCTTAAATCTGTCTAGCACCTTACGGTTCACGTTTTTAAGCAGGATGCCTCTGACTGCTGCAACTAGACTCTTCATTGATATTGGACTGCTCAGCTGACTTTTCATCGATATTGCAAGGAATATTGGATTGCTCAGCAGAATGGGAGATCTGCTGCCCACCAAATCTTGCCTTAATTATCAAGTGGAGGCAGCCTGAGTCATACTAAAAGTTAGGAAAGCTACAAGGAATTGCATGGAATATGATCTTTGACATGGGACCTACCATGTGAAGGAAATTTCCGTTGAAAGCAAATGGACTTTTTGGGTGAATGGATTTCAAGCATTTGAAAAGAAATGTCATGGGATTTCTAAAGGAGATTTGGGCATCAAGAATATGATAATACATGTAATTGCATTTAAAGTAAACTCTTAATTTTATTTTTTTTTATGTAAGGGGCAAGGTTTATGTCCTCCCCTATTTTCTTTATAATTTTGTCATTAATAAAGTTTACCCTACATGGGTTTAACTTAAAAATAAATAAATGTGTTGTTTGATGCTAATTAAGTTGTAAGTGCATATCATTTACAAATAAGTTGTAGTTTTATATCTAGATCCAAATTTTATTATGGATTATGGAAGCAACATAATGATAGTCCTTTGGAAGGACTTCTGTCAACTAGCTATGACTACATATTTGGTGGAGTGCAAGAGTTTGATTGGATTATGCATGGACAATCTCGGATTTTGGGGAGTTAATAGAGGATCTTGATCTGCAAGACGTTTTGTATATGTTTTAGACACGATGTCTATAACAATTGTAGTGGCAAAATTTTGGGAAGAGTAATTTGGCATCGGATTGTAAAGTTTACTGGCATATATGCATTTTCTTGACTCTCCACATCCAGCTACTTTAACAAGTGACGATATTTCTTCCTAATGGGCGAGATTCTTGGAATTCAAATAAATGAAGATGTCTATTGTGCAAGAGTAATGTTATTGAGACTTAAAAAATAGATCTAATTTGTTAACTTAATGATATGATAGTGAGGTAGTCTAATAGTATTATTGTGACTATAACTCTTGGACTTTTTCATTGGGATTTTATCAATTGACATGACATTGTGTCAATAAATAAGGTTAATTTTTTAGATCCCAATAATATTACTCATTATGCAATGGATAGAAGATTTTGAAAGTGATCCTCATCCTACAAATTAGGGTTCCCAATTATTTTGGAATATTTTTAGTAATTGTATTTTGTCCGAACAAGGGATAAGGCTCTAAGAGCATCTCCAACCATGACTCGAATTTTTACTCAAATTTAAATTAACATTTGAGTAAAAAGCTTGATTTGATATAAAGAACTCTAATGGACAAACTCAAATTTAAAGGAGCAGAGACCCAAATTTAAAAGGGAGTAAGAATGACCATTGAATCTTTAAAAGATGGTGAAATTTCACCATTAAAGAAATTGAGTAAAAATTTGAATTTTCCTTAATTTAAGTAAAAAAATAAGTTTTTCTTAATTTGGTATAAGTTTGAGTAAGGGTTGGAACAAGATTTTTAGACTTTTTTATTCAAATTTAAATTTGAGTAAGGATTGAAGATGTCCTAATTCGCCCTAACTAAGATTTTAAATTATCCATGAATACATCACCTTTGTTCCAACTCATGGATAGCTCTTGATAGATTTGGATGTGCTTCATCATGGAAGAAATTCAAATGTGTTTGGTTGTTTATGAGTTGCATAGTCCTAAAACTATAGACAAGTGGCTTTTGTGGAGTGATAGCTGGTGTTAAAACCAATTATTAACTTTTTTTAATGGGATTCTCATATTTTCTTGGTGATGTTTTTTTTTTTAATATTACGTGAATGCCTTCAGGCACTATCAATTACTCGAGAATGACTTTGGGATGTCCGAAATAATTTGGCCAAGTTTAAGTTATAATAGATTTTTGATTTTGAATAAAAATGTGAAAGTGTATTAGATCTGAAATTTATAAGTCAAATATAACTCTACCAATGACATTGCTTGGCCAATGCAATTATACATTGAAGTCTTAGCTTCCATTTTGTAACAGGGGCTTCCCTGGAAAGCCCCATCTTTTATTATCTCATTAAAATTTTCAACAATTGTGTACATATATTGGTTATTTTTGGGGTTTTGTTTTAGTGGAAATTTTGCCAAATTTTTTAAAAAATTATGGGTCCAAATTTTTTATATATTGCCTTCAGGCACGTGCAATAACTAGTAATACTATATTTAACATAGAGAAATAACGTTGCTGGATCATGTATTTGTAATTGACTAATTTTGTGAAGTCTATGTAAATCTAAGCCAAACTCCATGGTCATTAAACTTCAAAGATCAAGATCTATATGCGACAAAGGAATGGAAGGAGATCAAGTTACAATACTACATCAAGACTACTCTATTGCACTTTCAAGTTTAGGACAAAGGTAATGACCTTAGAAACCTAGATACCATGGTTTAATTTTAGACTTAGGATGATTAAGATGAACAAAATGAAATTGGGAATATTCGAAAAATGACTCCTAAGGTTTTTCATTGAAAATGTTTTCTAAACCTTAAATGTGTATTGAAGATAACTTGAGTCATTTATTGGACCCTATTTAAGCAACACCCTTTAGTGCTCAATAGGTTGAGCTTTTGCTTAGTTTCTAGCTTAAAAACCAGTACGAATCTATGTTCACTAGTCTTCACTACAGTGGTTTCTAAAACACTTAGAGAGAAAAAATTGGAGAAATTAGTGGAGACTGATCTACAACTGCTCTATGATCGCCTTACCATCGCTCGAGCAGTCTGGAGGTCGAGTGAGCAACTGGAAGATCGGTCTGCCACCTGGAGGTCTAGAATGACCTTTTACTCTAGCGACCAATGCCCTAGGGCCACACTCTTATTGGTCGAGTGGTCAATGCAAATCTTTGTTTTCTTGGTCCCCATGACAAACCTTATTTGTGTCCTATATATATAGGGCTATGTCTTAAACCTATGGTAAGCCTCTATGAGCTAGAAAACCCAAACTTTTTCTAGAGTGCTTTAAGAACAACCCTAGATCTTTAAGGCCAACCATTTTGATTCTTCCATTCAACCTCACACATTGAAGAAGAAGATCTTGTTTGGTGTCAACTAAAACCCATTTGGAGAAGTGTGCATACCAATGTCTTGGGTGATAAGTCATGAAGATTGCTCGATGCCTAAATGAACCATGTGGTGAGGAGTTCAAATAAAGCTAACCATAACATTGAAGGAAGGCCTTTGGCAGGGAGATCTGCGAAGGGAAAGAGCATCTAGTCATGTGGATTGGTTGAGGTATAAGAATCGAGTACTTGTAGATTGACTTTGAGTATAAGAATAGTGGTGAACCGAGAAGGTTTCCCACTATTTTTTTCAAGAAGCGTCAACAAATTGCATGTATTCTTTATTGCTTTAATTTGCTTGTACATTTGCAATGTTGCACACAAGGGTATCATGTGTTTGCTGAATTGATTGTTTATCTTTCAAGTTATTAATAGTTGTTTTGGTGATTGTGGCTTTGGTTGAGATCAAAAAGAGATTGTGGATTGGTTGATGTTTATTGCATATTCATTTATTCATTCACACTCTTAATGAGTTGT